GAGAGAGAGAGAGAGAGAGAGAGAGAGAGAGAGAGACATGATAATGTTGAAATGATATCCTAGGTGTACAACGTTCTGTTCATAATTATTACCTAAAAATGATAGCCTTAGAATTCCACACATCATAACAATGAGAAATCCGCACGGGTGGATAAATGATATCACGTTGCATTGTGCATCAAAGGTAACGTGCGAATTTATACCGATACACTGATGCAGTACAGGGGTGAGTGACGCCCGTTCGAAGCGCTCGAAGCCAGAAAAATATTGAAAAATTGACGGGCGCACGCTGCTACACGCGCGCGAGCTCTGTAGTGTTTAATAATGGATAATATTTGATACCAGATCCGCCCGAGGGCAGGCACTCCCCCTCCGTGCCCATTCGTCAGTGCGATCCGATATCAACTCGTTCCACAAAACAGTTTTACAACAAAAATTCAAATTAATAAAATAACCCTTTTAGGATCGGTTAAATCGTCTCTCTTACTAAACTTTGCCCATCGATATGTTTTCACTTGCATGCATGTTTATCACACATGTATCATCTCGTCTTACTATTGTATATTCGCATTTCTTATTTAATATTTTAAAGACTGGAGCTTTAAAATAAAGTAACTTATGGAAGATTTTGCTTTCTATAAGTTTTCAGAGTTTTACTTAATTCAATTCTGGTCTCAGAATTTTAAAATTCAAATTAAAAAAATAATCTGATTACCATGAGACTTGATTTTAGAAGATTCTTAGTCTGAGTTAAAATGTAGCTTTCGAATATATAAAATATCGAATTTCAAAAGGATAGTAACTTCTATAAAGGAGAATCTAGTTTGATTACCTCACAAGGTTTATAATCACTGATTACAATTATTAATCAGAGTTTGAAAATCAGTTTAGAAATCATAATACTAATTGTTTACGTATTATCGATGAGCTTCAAATAAAACGAAACTGCATATTTGATGTTTAATTACTTCGTAATTAAAAAAACTCTCTAAAATCGAGTTTGATCAATTATTGATCAATTATTTGATCAATTATTTTTTAAAATTCTATTCGCTATATTTTATTTATCACTTTGAATTTTTTATTTTTGATCTCAGATTCGAATAGAGCATTATCAAATTACCCCATAGGCGAAGTTTCATAAAAATTGAACGAACAGTTCATAAAATGAAAGGAGGTAATCCCAAACGGGGTCACCGGTCCACAAAGGGTTGAAGTTAATGTATGCGTAAAGAGTTAAAAATTAATGTATGTATAAAATGTAAATCTTGTAAAAGAAAACCTTTTTGTATGAATGAGGGATAGATTTAGAACAGAGAAAAAAGAAAGAGATATCTTTTAATGGAGACAAGAAGTAGAGCAGTATAATGGATTTTCAATGGTAAAATTGACATTTACTGGTTTTAAATTTTGCATATAATGAGCGAATGTTATGCGAATATTTACTCTTTAATGATATTATAATAAATTTTATTGAGAATTACGTTGTCTGATTTACGTAACAGCACTTTGATTACTCCATACTCGACTTTATTATTGTCAGCATTTCTCTCTGATATTTTCGTGAATTTCCTAAATCAAATTATCGCGAAATAACAATTTTACTAATTATCAGTAATATCAGGTCTTAATTGGGCGATCATCACTGGCGTATTTTGTACTGCCTATTATGATAGAAGTATTTATTGCAACCGGACGTGCTGTCCGCAGTGAAAGAGTCTGCGGTGCAAAAGCGGGATAATTCTCCGGGCATCGAGATAATAAATTACCCTCGGACACTGAGAGTAGCGTATGATCGTATACCGTTCCCTTTTATCGAAATGAATATTGTAATTTCCAACCGACTTTCTCTACCATGTCGATTCCTCCTTTTTTTCTCCTTTTGTTTCTGTTGCAAAACCACTTGCGCCATGATTTATGTCGTTGCTTCCTTCGGCGAGAAATTTACGTACATGTAGCAGAGAAGTTGCAGTTTCGCGGACCGTAGGGACAAGAGAATGCATATGGTTTTCCTCCTAACAATAATTTTCATCCGTCAAAACTCATACTTAATATCCAACAAAATAATTCCTCGCGCTTGATACAATCGCTTTTTCTCAATTTTCGTCAAAAATTCAGTGTTTAGCAAGTCGCTTAAAAATTAAAAATAAAATTTGCTATCCCGTATATATATTTTTACGATAATGCACATTTTTAATATTGCTGTCACGTCTCATTTAGATTCCGTCGTTAGTCGAATGTATTCTAATATTACGTTTTTAGCTATGTAGCAGCGTTTTTCTGATGAAAACATCCCGATAAATTCGTAACATTTCTCCGCGAAGCTTTTCAATTATGAATACTACTACGTACATACATACCTCTCAAGTTTCTGTCTCTCGTTTCTCCTTCCCCTCTTCCCGCCCCCCCCTCCTCTCTCTCTCTCTCTCTCTCTCTCTCTCTCTCTCTCTCTCTCTCTCTCTCTAAAAAACTCTCTCTCTCTCTCTCTCTCTCTCTGTATCGATCTTTGCATATACATATACGCGTACATATGCACGATCTTTGTATCAATAGTGATACGTCACGTCAAACATTCTATCCTATAGGTTACCGCTGGTACACCGAATGTGCATGCGTATATACTGAAGTAGTATATCTGACAGTCTCCCGCGAAACTTCGTAGTATTTGCGTCTACTTCGTGAAACTTGAGAAGATAGTAATTTGAAGCTCTCGTCGACTCCTACGAGTGTTTATTCCGGAAGTACATATCGCACTACCCGCGACGCGTGACCGGCACATACGTGGAATATTCATAACGCTTTCACGCGCCTTCCCACCATTCCATTGTAAATGACTTGCAAATGTTTCGCTAATTACAATAGAGTCGAGCGGGGTGCTCGCTTAAGCCCGGTTAACGAGCGACGTTGAAATAAAACAACGGGAGAGATAGAGATACGTGCTCCAGTGAAATGACTGCTTGTGGAGAGAGATCTCCGCATTTCATTTATTATATATATATATATATATATATATATATTTTTTTTTAATTGTTATTACAGGCAAGAACTTCAGCGAAAGAACGAGCAGTGCGAGCATTGTTTAAAAGACAACGAGAACTCTCTGGTGCCCTTCGACTCCCGCATCAACAAGATGGCTCAATTGATTTCAGACAAGGAGAAAAGTACGTACCGCTCTTGGCGTTTGCCAATCTTTTTCATTAAACTCGATACGAGAAACTCGATTCATGTTCATTCTATTATAATTTAATTTTAATCTCGATTCAAGTAACTCTTTATCTTCTTCTAGTTTTAAGAAAAAGATGAAGGGGTTGAACTGAGATTAAAAATTGATGAAATCAGAGATTCAATATAAATCAGTTGTACAAACATGAGAAAACTCATGTAAAGCGTATAAATGTGTTGTGATCAACATGAAATGAAATTAGAAATCCGGATTTTCAGAATATCGAGATCGTAGAATACGATTTGTTCTAACTTAGCAATAAACTACTGATTCGCGAACGATAAGATATTACGGACACCGTATGCTGACGCATTATTGGCAACTCGGAGAATTGTGCATCGCACTTGGCGAGTATAGTGTGATACGCGGGCGCGTAATGTTATCACGGAGGCGGTTCTAAAGTGTAATCTGCGGGGATAACAAGGAGGTTAGCGAGGCAAGATTGGCGTCAATATCGTTACCGGGACGCGCGCATGCAAGGGAAAGAGAGTAAGACAGACGGAGAGAGCGAGAAAGGGTTAAGAGAGGGGAAAGGGGAGATTCGCAATAAAGGCGGGCGTAATAATGTCTCGCGCGATGTCGTCTTCCTCCTACGTGTATCCGGCGTCAAAATGCAGAAGCCATTCCTGGATTATGCGCCATTCCTATTGTCTTGTGTCTATTGACTGCCTTAGAACTGCGCTAGAGACAGTTTCCGGATACGTCATTTTCGAGTTCGCCAAGTGGAATAAGGACCGCGCCAATGGATACATCTCTTGTATAATAAGAATTACAGTAATAAGAATTACAGTATTAACTTAGTCGTACACAGTATATACGTTACGCACATCTGAAGCGGTTTCGTTTATAAAAACTTGAGCCTTAGAAACAGAGTAGTTAATATGTCGATGAAATAAATCGTTCGGAAAGAACGTCAACAAGAACGTGTATACAAGTGTGTATGAAAGAGAGAAATATGAAGCAACGAAGTACACAGCGCAAATCGGATATTCCGCATTAAGGAGGTTCTCGTGCTTCCTAGGCAATAACTTAAATTTTTTTAAATTATGTAAAATGGTTAAAATAGTAATATAAAAACATTATCAATAATTCGTTAATGTCATTAATAATTATAATTATAAAATATACATTTAAGTTTATTCTGATAAAGTTCTGTTTAAATTCAACATTCATACAATTTGAGAGGAATTTATATTTTTGAATGAGACGTTTGCATATAAAAGAGAAATTTCAGAAATATTAATGTTACAAATTAAGAAAAAAATATACTACGGGATAAAATTTTGCATATCTTGGAATATAAAATTCCATACATTTAGAATTAAATCTTCACAACGGCATGATAAAAATCAGTGAAATTTCTTTTAGATAGTGATGTAACCAACTTTTGTATCATATATGTATTATAGACTTGTCTTATATTTCATTAAACGAGAAAATCTCCTTAAGCCGTCTTTCATCCCGGATAATTACACGCATTCGTGGAAGACACCTGCGCACGTAATGTAGACTATCACATGCTTTACCTCGCGTTCAATTCGCGCGTCATAAACATACGTGCTTGCGAGATGGAAAAAGATAGGAGGAGAGTGAGAGAACGAGCGAGAACGAACCAACTACCACATATTCTTCGCGGAAATTCTGCGGTGACTTCGCAAGCGATATCGAGTTTCGCCCCGTCTCGTAGTCGTCGCGGTATTGTCGACGAAAATCCTATTCACCGGCAGCGATGGCGGTGGTTGGTGGTGACGACGACGGCGGCGGCAAGCGCGATTCTGTCTTGCACAAAAGCCAACCGTTGCCACCCCGCCATCGTCGCCCCGCAAAATATGTGATTCGTGAAGCCCGGCTTAAGATCCCCGCGCTGGAACCCCGTGGTGTCGCGTAAACTTGCATTCTCACCATCCGTTGCGGCTTGCCATTCTCTGGATGGACTTAACGACGCTGCACCACCAACCTTCCTACGTGTTACAAACGCGATCGAACCTATATCTAAGAACGTCTCTAAGAACCCAGGCGAGAACAACGTCACGTTCTTTGTTCTTTGCAAACATTCATTCATCTTGGAAGTACGGTTGCGGAGATTGCGATGATTTATCAGAAATAGCTGTTATCCTTTTGCCAGTTAGGGAGGTAATGCTGTCTGTAGGTACATTTTGTTTCTGACAGCAGCTAATTAACTCTAGTTCTTAAAACCCTTTCAGACTTGATTTTATTGGAACTATGTTAAACAATTTTTTTTTAATTTAATTAATTTAATTTAACCACTTTAATAAGTGATTCATACTAAACAATTAATTTTTACCGAAATTTTGATTATTTTTCCAATATTATTATGTACATCTGACGTAGATAATGTTGATAGAATTAAATAATTTTTAATGGATAAGTCTTCAACTTTGATGTATACACATCAATATTATAATATACACAGACTTCAAAAAGGTTAATGATTTAGGATTATTAATTTAAAAATTATTAATTTTAAAGTAAACATTGCAAATATGGAACACTCGTCCCTGGAAGATAAGCAATGCGATCGAGAAGAAAGAGAAAAAAAAATTTAAAGAAAGAATATCAAAAATATCAAAAATAGCTTAAAAAATTATTATACACAAACATTTGTTCGAATGTCTTCTTCGGATGATCGAACGCGACTCGTCGTTTTATTCGAGCGACTCGTTTCCGCGATCCGTTTAAGCGGAAAGCTCGCGTTCCGACAGCTCTCTCGATATTTTCGCGTCGCTTGCAAACGTCGTGCAGGCGGATCGCGCAACTCGTAATTCTATTCGCCGGGAACTCCGAACAGGACGAACTCGGTTAGCTCCGTTTTGTAGCACGGCAGGTCTGTTCCTCGATAACGCCGCCACGCTATTTATCGGCTCATGCCCGTGAGCGCTTCTAACCGATGCATGTAACCGCATTCACATCGTTCCAAAGAAGCCGCGTCATCGGCGGAAAGGAGGAGGTGTGCCGAGAGAACGTGGTTGGATCCAAGGGAGAATGGCAAATTGAATCCCGTGGTAGTGTGTTCCAACGAACTCGGGACTCCTTCTGCGGAAAACGACACCGTGTCTCTCTTCATACTCTCCTCTCTACTTCCCCCCCCCCCCTCTCTCTCTCTCTCTCTTCGTGAGATCGATGGGAAATCGAGTTATCGGCCTTAGTAGATCGAGCGTACCTGCGCCGCGTTAACCCACGAAACTTTATTGGCAATGCGCCGCATCGCGCGAATCCACGCGTGCCCGGACTTGTGATCGCTCTCTGTGAATTCCGTGAAAATCGACTCTCCCTCGATCGCCTCCCTCCCTTCCTCACTCTCTCCTTCTGTGTCTCTCTCGGGTCTGTCGAGCACGGATACTTGCGAGCTCAGTAAACCTACCCTTGCCCCTGGAATGAGAAACTTCTTCCTCTCGCGGCTTTCCGGTTTCCGGTGAGCGAGGGACGATCGGCGGAAGTGAATCCAGTGGGCTTTCCCGACCACTACGACAGTCTGATGGTCTGATCCATGATCGTACCATATCTGGGAACTCAATATCATAAAGGTGCGAAAAATGAAGCGCATCAGACTTTTGGGTATTTTCGAGGTATTTTGGTTATAAAGAGAGATTTTGGCGACGCCGATAAAAACGACAACTACAGATTTAATCATTTAAAAAATTATTTATATCTTTCAGATTACGAAAAAATTTAGTAACTGTAAATGTGTAAGACATCTAAACAATTACTATTGATAAATAGCAAAAATGTTTTAATTAGTAGCATTGACTTTTCAACATCTGTATATCGAAGCTATCGGAAAGATATCTTTTACATAAGCTTCTAGGTGTTAAATATTTTGTACAGAAAAAAACTATTTTTAAATCGACTATAAGTATCTATGTCTATAAGCAAAAATATCGTAATTTTGCTTCAAAGATTTTAGTTTTGATTGGATTAAATTTGATGCAAGTATTACTTTGTACTCAATTCAAGACTAAAAATCTTGCATTAATACAAATTTATCAATCAGATCAAGTCTAAAATCTTTGAAGCAAAATTACAATATTTTTGTTACATATTTTAAAATATATTATTGTCGATTTAAGACTAATCTTTTTTTCTATTCGAAAGACAATGAGAACTCAACACTAAGTTGAGCGTAAAGATCGATGAAAAATTACAATTCTCTGCGGATTTTTTTTCTTCGCCCGCCTCCCATGTCCCGCCCCCTGATTAAAAAACTGTCAAGTTGCAGTTCGGTAACTCAGTTTGACAGTCGAATATCCAACCACTCATCCGGATGACAGACGGTAGAAGGGTAACCGATTGTTGATGTCGAGTCTCAAAACGGCGCGACGTTTATACGAATGATGCCGAGAAACGGGAGACAAAAGCGCGCGCTTTATTCCATATCGAGTGGCGGATTCGAGTTTCTATGGTCGGATTAACGCTGTGCGCCCGCTCCCCCCCCCCCTCTCTCTCTCTCTCTCTTCCTCTCCTCCTTCTGTTTCTCTTTCCGTGGTATCAGTGTACAGGCTTTATGTTTGATTCTCCCGGAAACTTCTGGCAAGTTGCATTAGGATTGAACTATGCGCGCGGGCGGTATTGATCCTTGATAGTTCGCAAGCGCTCAACAAGAATATAATTCGCGATACCGAGTAACGAGCTTAATCTAGCAAGTCACTCTGCCGACTATCGATCTCTTGTTGCCGAGATATTAACGTCCGACGAGCATTAGGCGTGTCGGAAAAAAAAACTTTCGCGCGTGTGGAACGAGAAGAATGACAGGGGTAAAATTTGCGATAAAATATCCAAAATATTTTCGATCCTTTATTATCATTTTTCCAAGATTTCGTAAAATAGGATAATTACGATAATAAATCATAAATGTTGTTCTCCGCGATGGGAAGCCAGATCGGCTTTTTTGGGCTTACAGACTAGATTCGATTCGAATTT